CAGATTCAAATGCGCATGGGAGACCTTCAAGGCAGCGGAAGCCTCCAAGTCGGTACGGGGCTTGGGTGTCTGGTTAACCAATTGCTCCAGTGATGTTAAAGTGAAACGTTCGAGGACTGATGGACATTATGGAACATTCTAGGCAACTAGATACGTTTGCACATTGTAACGTCATTGTTTCCTGAGAATTATGGACATGAACAGTCGTTAAGAATTAGTTTGTTATGTCAAGTATAGGTTGTTTAAGTTCATCCAGAAGTGACTTGCAAAGTGGACCAGCACTGGGACAGTGCTCATAAAGGGGGGGGGGTAGTGTAGCGCAAGCTATTCCCCAGGGGTCCCCCCTGAGTGACCTTACCTTTGGGGTCACGTGACTCATCGGTAGACCATGTGCGAATATAGTAGTGTTGTGTTTATTAAAAGCAGTTTTAACGCCATGTTTACTGTAATTTGTGGCGTTACAATATTTATGTATTGCTTTCCTTCATCTCCGAAGCATTTCCATCGATAAACAAGTTGTACCATATACATTTCCTTGTGTGGCCTTCATAATTATCCAACCCTGTTTGTGTTTGCTTCGATTTGAAATACTGAAAAGATAGTTTTGCAAGCTGAAATCAGGATCTTTTAAGTTGTACTAAAAATGATAAATATTGTCCTACTGACCTTTGAATGTATTTTCACTGCTGTGAAAATCGTAACACAAATTCTTCTGCAGGGTTTCTCAAAGGAAGCAGAAAGTGGGGCTGGCATGGATTTTCTTATAGAACATAAGGGTTGATTATGGGATCCTGTATAGAATTCTTTGCATCGAACCAACAAAATTCCAGATCACGTTATTACACACTGACATCAACGAATTCTCTTTCTTTGATACGTGTTTCGAATTCAGGCAAAGGATCAGAAGGGTCAGTGTCTTTTATGGGCTCAGCGCTGGCTCCCGAACAACTGGCTTCCCCATAATCTTTCATTAGATGAGAAAAAAGATGCTTTTAGAGAACCAATAAAGCTATCGTTGTTTAATTAACGAAACGTTTTCGTGTAAATCGATTTTGTACTGTCTCCGTTGACCTCTAACTTTTGAAGAGCTCAACTTCTTTCTCAGTTCGGTCGGCCACTTCCGAATCCTCGTCGTCTACCGACTGTATGGGTCGTTTTTATACTTCCGAATAATTTGCTTCTAGTAAGGCTACGGTACAGCACCAGGAAGAAAAATGACTGCCACAAACAACAGAATGTTCGAACGGCTCGACGAAATCGGCTATTTTCACTTGAACAAATTTCACAAATTGTCGCTTCAAATTTGCGTCATTTGGAAATATTTGCATAGTATGCCCAATTTTGTTTGAATCAGTACAAAACTGGACGACACAACGCTTTACCATTACGAAAAAATTGAATATATTGAAACAAATTGTAAGTGAAAAAATCATGACGAGACTGGCAAACAACGGCTGTAAAAAAGACTCCTTCGTGCCTCACGCGATTATAAAACGAGACTTTGGAGGGTCCACCCGTGACGTCACAGGAAGATAGCGCCATTCAAGATGGCGAATGTTTCGAATTTGGAAGAGCTTTTATAAAGTGAAAATCGACTTTTGAGAAAAAACGAATGGTACCTTTGGTGTACTTGATATATTTACTAAACATCTATGTGAATAGAAAATGAATGTTTTTGGGTTTACATGCCCTTTGAAACAGCAGAAATTGCCAGAAACTACGACGGATACACAAGGCATGAGTAAGTTTTATTGATTTTCCGTGTAAAATATTCATATTTTGAAATATTTATCGTTGTAAATCGACCATATTTCGTTCCCCAACGTTCTTAACACCAAGTCACAAAACGCGTGACGCGTTCATGAATGAGCCTGGGCCGCCTGTGGTCACAGACGGTCCAAGCTCACGCCTCGAGAAAAAGCCAACGAAAAAGCCAACGAAAAAGCCAATGATTAATTCATGAACGCGTCACGCGTTGTGTGATTAGGTGTTAAGTTACGAGAGGAACCGTTAAAAATTTAAAATGTTATAAGGAATAATATAGGGAACGAAATATGGCCGACTAACAACGATAAATATTTCGAAATATGAAGACTTTTCTCGTAAAAGCAATAAAACTTACTCATATCCCGTGTATCCGTTGTAGTTTCTGGCGATTTCTGCCGTTTTAAGCGTGCTTTACCATCACTGTTATTCACGTCATCTACTTTTATTACGTTAGTAAAATCTGTACAGACATCACACCAACCAACTCGCACGCAAAGTCAGAAGACTATATTGAAGGCTTGAAATTATATTGCGATCGATTTTCATCAAGAAATGAGCCACGAATTTTCCACAATAGTGCAAATAATCGTGAAGGCTGATCACGGGAAAGCGATTGCGTGACGCTCGGTAATCTTTAAGATGACATGTTATTATCTACCAGAAGTAAAAAGTCTTCAGATTCTCAGTCTGCATTTTATACCCACTCTGCAGTCTATATTTTATATCCGGTCTGAAGTCTGCTGTCTGCATTTTGTACTAACAGGTTTCCGTGGCACCAATACAGTTTATTTTTGGTTACATTTATTTGCACAACACACATAATCTACCACAAAATACCTGTGTGTGAGGTAATTCGACATTTTCATTCTTTTCCGCGTTAATAATCTTCTTTCCTTTTGTATGAATGTAGACCACTTACAATGTTTCAAGTAATCCACCCACCTTACAAAAAATAACTCTTGCATGCATGGCACTAGACTTGAGCTCAGTATTTCAGTACACTTGTCCGACACTCGTAGTATCACTACACTTGATTCCAAGGATCCAGTACCATCCAGGTATCCCAGTTACCCTACTCACAGGGTCTAGTGAATGTTTTGTCCCGTAGAAAAGTCCTATTTGCTGATTTTAGCAAATCTCCAAGATAGTAAATGACAGAAGAGAGAAACGCTACGATTTTCCCATCAATTTTTCGCCTAAATGCATCTCTCTAAACATGAAAGTTTTCATTCCTACAAAAAACCTCGAACTTTCTTCACATTTTTTCAGCTTTCTTAATCAATCATCCCGTATAAAGAGCTGTAAAAACCATCCCTCGACCCAGGCCGCCTCGTCAACATTAGTTATTTCGCGCTCTGCATGCTAATTTATTATTCAGTCTGCGAGTCACATTGTTCGAGTTAGTTATCAGTTGTCCGTTGTCAGTCAAGTTTCGCAGTCAAGTTTCGCTTCTACGGCCCTTATCCCGTCACGTCTGGTACGTTCTTTATTCTAGTTGTGTTTGCTTATTAGTTTATGCTTCCTTGTGTTCGATTTCCCCCAGTAACTTCATTTTATTCATCTATTTAGAAACCACATTGGCAATTACGTAACTATGGTGAGACATTAAATCGAAGTGAAAACCTATTGCTGGTGTGCGTCGTCTATAGTTTCAGACAAGTGGATTGCGTTTCTAGCTTGGATTATGCCTCTATTCCGTGGAATCATGTCTGATGATCTTTCTGTTGGAAGGATTCGTCCACCAAGTTCGCGAATAGACATCGAAGCTGTACGGCGTGAAAGAAATCAGTCCCTAAAGAATTCACGTGCTGGTCACCTCGGACACTTGAATAGACTATATAAGGAAATCGAATCACTAATGCAAAACGTCAAAAACATTGGCGAAGCCTGCGAAAGGGAGGAAATTTAGATATTGCATTCACGAGATGTTTACAGTCTTACGATGATTATTATCAGTATGTCGAAGACGTAGAGATGAAAAAGGAAGCTCTAGATGCCTGCCATAGCATTATCACCGGGAAGAAAGAATTTGACGAGCGTCCCGTGGAATGGTCCAAGTCAGTTCAGGAAATTGCAAATGGAAATTCCGTTAACTCTCAGTAAGAGGATGATGCTGGCGACAAAACACACGGCGTTACACGTTCTGTTGTCAGCGAAGGCAGCGAAAAGTCGAAGAGTTCTAAGTCGTCTTCACGCGCGAGCGAAAGATCGCGAAAGGCCAAAGCTGAACTTCTTCGTCGCGAAGTTGAATTGACAAACCTTTTCAAGCGCCAAGAAATGGAACGTCAAATGGAGCGGCAGTTAGCCGAAATGAAATCGCAAGAAGAAGAACTGAAACGTCGGATTGCCGTTTAAGTCGCAGAAGGAGAAATCGAAAAGGCTAAAGTCGTTGATGATCTCTTCGAGGCATCCGAAAGTTCTAAGCGTAGTACCAAGTCAGAGTTAAAGCTGGTGAACACAGAGGAGGCATCTCACTCTTATCCTACTACGAGACATGCTGAATTGTACACCAAATGCGACCCCAAAAACGTTGGCACAAATTATCCGAAATCAGCGCTGGATTTGAAAACTCGATCCTGGGACCCAGGTCCCTCTCACAGCCGCAGCAGTGGTGAAAACCTGGCGGTTTCGCAACAGTTACAGCAAATGATGAAGCAGCAACAAGAGGCTCTGCAAGTGATGGCTGTGTCGATTCAACAAGGATTTGAAATGCCCAAAAGAGAGCTGTTAACCTTTGATGGTAATCCTCTAAACTACTGGTTGTTCGTGAACAACTTCGAGGTCAATATCGCCAAGAGAGTACCTGACGCAGAGTCGAGGCTTGCGTACCTTATACAACATTGTTCTGGAAAGGCTAGAGAGGCCATTAAGAACTGTGCCATAATTTCCGATCCAAACGCAGGATACAGGAAAGCCCAGGAGATCTTGTATCATCGATTTGAACAGAAACACATTGTTGCGCATGCGCACATCGCGAATAGTAGAAGGTCCTCAGCTTAAAGGTACGGACGTCACTGGTTTGTCAGATCTGTCCGTTCAGATGCAGAAGTGTGCGCTGACCCTTGCTCAAATGGGCTACAAGGCAGATGTAAATGGCTCAGACAATCTCATAAAGGTGATGAAACGCCTCCCTGTTCATTTACAGTCCAAATGGGCAGACAGAGCCGGCTCATTAACCCAAGCTGGCGTAGAACCTAATTTCTGGCATCTAGCCGAGTTTGTTGGCAAACACTATGTACGGAAGAGCGGTTGGTTCCATACCAGACAAGGATCGAAGTACGAAGTCATCTAAAGTTAAGCCTCCAGTCACGAAAGGTGGTGTCTTTACGACGCAGTCCGAGATGGTCGCAAGCGGTCCTCCTGCAAATGCAACTCCTCCCATTGTCAATTGCCCGTTGTGCTCTGGTAAACATAGATTGTCGAAGTGCGAGCTCATGAAAGCAAAGAGTGCTGAAGAAAGGAAGAGCTTTGTTAGGCAAGTGAGACTGTGTGACAACTGTTTCGCGAGCGGTCACATGGCAATGGATTGCAGAAGTAAAATGAGATGCCAAGTGAATGGCTGCGGATGGAAACATCACACAATGTTGCATGTTCGGAAGAAGAAGTACGACAGTGGTAGCTCTCCTGTCGACCCACCAGCCACCTTGGGAGAGACTGGTACGAGTACTACCAGTGGACCTAGTGAGACTAGAACGAGTACCGTCAGCGGGGCCGGGGAGACTGGTCAGTGTAGTGCTACTGGTTCTGGAAAGAACAATGTGTGTTTAAGAATAGTTCCAGTCATCGTGAGAGGAAAGGGTGAACTCGATCAGATCATGACAAATGCTTCACTCGACCCTGGGTCGGACGTGACATTATGTGATGTGAGCCTTATGGATAAACTCCAGCTAGTGGGTCAACTCAAGCAGTTTTCGTTGGCAACTGTTAATGGCGAGTCAGACTCCCGGAAAGGGTTCGAGTTGTCTTTGTGTGTCCGTGGGTTGCAGATGGACGAGGAAATTGCGCTGGATAAAGTCTGGACGGTTGATACTTTGCGTCTTCCTCAAGGCAGTCCACCAGCTGAAGAAGACACAGCTCAATGGCCTCATCTGAATGGAATACACTTCCCGAGGATAGAATCTGATACGGTGTCGGTCCTCATCGGCAGCGATGTTCCAGAAGCTCACTGGGTGTACGATCAGAGGCGCGGTAGGCGTGGCCAACCTTATGCCGTGTGCACTCCCCTCGGATGGACCTTGATGGGACCATTGAACTTGTGCGAAAGGAACTCCTTCAGGGTCAACTTTGTACGCTACGACGACGAAACACTTCATCGGCAGATGGAGACCATGTTTAAAAGTGATTTCAACGAGCCAATGATGTCCACAAAGGTCGCAATGTCGGTTGAAGATCGAAGAGCATTAACCCAAATGGAAAGTTCTGTGAAACTCGTGAATGGCCATTATCAGCTGGGTTTGCCTTGGAAGTTCAAGTCAGTAAGCCTCCCAAACAACCGTGACTTTGCAATGGGAAGATTGCGCCATCTGAAGAAGCGTTTCCAACACGATCCTCACCTCTTCGAGAAGTACAAGGACACTATTAACGGTTATGTCTCCAGCGGTTTTGCAAGACGAGTTCCCTGTGACGAACTGACATCCGCTAAAGGTACACCAGTTTGGTACTTACCCCACCATCCAGTTTTTCATCTGCAAAAACCTGGTAAAGTAAGAGTTGTCTTCAATTGTGCAGCTAAGTGCAAGGGCACCTCACTCAATGATCAGCTGTTGCAGGGTCCCGACCTGAACAATGGACTTGTGGGAGTCCTCATACGTTTCCGCCAAGAGCCTGTTGCTATGGTTGCTGATGTGGAAGGCATGTTCCATCAGGTTCGGGTAGTTCCAGAAGACTGCCATGTTCTGAGATTCTTGTGGTGGCCAAATGACGACCTCTCGGGAGAGCCAGTTGACTTCCAGATGTTAGTGCATCTGTTCGGGGCCACGTCGTCCCCAAGTTGCGCAAGCTTTAGCCTAAAGAAGACTGCCTCAGATAACCAGGGTGATTTCGATGGGGAGACTATTGACACTGTCAACCGTAATTTCTACGTTGATGACTGTTTAAAGTCTGTTTCGTCGACAGAGAAAGCGGTGCGTTTGTCTGGTCAGCTGCGTGAGTTGTTGTCGAGAGGAGGGTTTCGGCTTACAAAGTGGTGTAGTAATGATAGGAACTTGATTGCCACTGTTCCGGTAACAGAGAGAGCGCCTTCCGTTGTTGACTTGGATCTGGAAGATCGCCCCGTGGAATGCACGTTGGGTGCACGTTGGGATATAGAGATGGACGTCTTTAAGTTGCGGATTATGGACCAAGCAAAGGCCCCCACTCGCAGAGGAATTTTGTCGGTCGTTAGTTCAATGTACGATCCACTGGGGTTTGTGGCGCCTGTGATCTTGCCTGCAAAGAGCCTGTTGCAGAGTTTGTGTAAACGGAAATATGGTTGGGACGAGGAGATTTCGGAAGAGGATTCCGCTGCGTGGCATGGATGGCTGAAGGAACTTGTATCTTTAAGAGCAGTATCAGTCCCAAGATGCTTCAAGCCGCCAGAGTTTGGTGCTGTCGTCAATGTTCAGTTACACCATTTTTCAGATGCCTCCGAATATGGTTACGGTGCAGCATCCTATCTCAGAATCGTGGACAACAATGGTGCTATACATTGCTCCTTTGTTCTTGGTAAATCTCGTGTGACCCCCCTTAAAGTGGTTTCCATACCTCGCCTTGAGCTGACAGCTGCTGTGGTCGCTGTGAAGTCAAATTGCCTGATCCGAAACGAGCTCGAGTACCCCATACATGATACAACCTACTGGACTGATTCCACCGTAGTCTTACAGTACATTCGTAACGAGTCAAGAAGATTCCAGACTTTTGTAGCCAATAGAATCGCGATGATCCATGAAGAATCTACGCTTCGTCAATGACGACATGTTAAGACCGCTTCCAACCCTGCTGACATCTCATCCAGAGGTGTGAAAGGTGCCGATCTAGAGAAGATGAATCAATGGTTACATGGCCCGGAGTTTCTTTGGAAGGAAGAGAAATGTTGGCCCGAACAACCTTCACAGTTACCAGAATTGTCTGAAGAGGACAATGAATGCAGAAAGAACACGACACGAGTGAACGCGATCGTTCTTGACAAGATGTTCGGTCCCCTCTTCGTCAAGCAAGGTCGCAGTCAAGTTAAGCGTTATGGGTGCTTGTTCACGTGCCTGACCATGAGAGCGGTGCATATCGAAGTTGCTCACACGTTAGAAGCAGATTCCTTTATCTGTGCGTACCAGCGTTTCGTAAGCCGTCGAGGGAAGCCCAAGGAGATATACAGCGACAATGGCACCAACTTTACTGGCGCTGAGCGAGAACTCAGAGAAGCACTTGAGCGATTAGACCAAAGTAAGGACTATAGTCGACTAAGGACGGATGACGTCCAGTGGTCATTTAACCCTCCGGAGGCTAGCCATCAAGGTGGCGTCTGGGAACGTATAATTCGTTCTGTGTGTAAGATTCTCGGCGCTTTGTTAAAAGAGCAGCTGGTTAATGATGAAACCTTGTCGACTCTACTGTGAGAAGTGGAGAAGATACTCAACGATAGGCCCTTGACTCCCGTCAGTGATCACCCAGATGATCCAGAGACGCTGACGCCCAGTAAACTTCTGCTTCTTAAGTCCAATTCTTGCCTTCCTTTGGATGTCTTCACGAGTCACGACATGTACAGCAAGCATTGGCGCCAAGCGCAATGTCTAACAAATTCATTCTGGAAGAGATGGATGAAAGAATATTTACCTACCCTTCAGTCAAGGCAAAAATGGACCTCTCAGCGTCGTAACTTCGCCGTTGGTGATCTGGTTCTCGTCGTCGATGAGAAGTCGCCGAGAGGTCACTGGCCGATGGGATTGATTGAGGAAGTGTTCCCGGACAGCCATGGCCACATACGTCATGTTAAAGTGAGAACGGCCACATCTACACACGGGACATCAGGAAGCTGTGTCTCCTCGAAGGAGTCCAGAATTTATGACACTATGAACTCTGTGAATGAACTGTCATGAATTCCATGACTACGAAATTATTATGAACTGCGTAATTTAGGTATTTAGGTATAGGTTTGGTTTTTTTTTTTATTAGAATAAGGCTAATAGCCCTTATTCGGGGCCGGTGTAAAAACCATCCCTCGACCCAGGCCGCCTCGTCAACATTAGTTATTTCGCGCTCTGCATGCTAATTTATTATTCAGTCTGCGAGTCACATTGTTCGAGTTAGTTATCAGTTGTCCGTTGTCAGTCAAGTTTCGCTTCTACGGCCCTTATCCCGTCACGTCTGGTACGTTCTTTATTCTAGTTGTATTTGCTTATTAGTTTATGCTTCCTTGTGTTCGATTTCCCCGAGTAATTTTATTTTATTCATCTATTTAGAAACCACATTGGCAATTACGTAACTATGGTGAGACATTAAATCGAAGTGAAAACCTATTGCTGGTGTGCGTCGTCTATAAGAGCTATGAAGTGCTCTAGTGGATACACTCTTTATAGTAGACATAAAAAAATGGCAAGTAACGACAACTTTTTATATTTTCTTTTTTTGTCAGCAGTATTTACACCAGTGCGTTGTGCTATATCTCATTTGAAAGAGGACAAAATAAGCTTTGAAGAAAAAAATATTTTGCCTTTAAAACTCCATGTATTTTAAATCATGCTAAGAAAATGGCATACAATTTGCATAAATTATCTGACAATTTTTGACTTTGAAACAGCCTGGGCTTGAATGGAATGGAGTTACAAGGAAAAATTTCCCTGATAAAACATTCCTTATATTATGGGCAAGACATCCAGAGAATCTGGCTGAAAAAGAACAAATACAGAATTAATTAGAATTTTTTTCCAAACTGTACCCCAAAACCATAAAAATTGACCCAGATTATTGAAAAATTTACTCCTCACCCAGTATTTACACAAGGGAAGTAAGCTATACCTCACTTGAAATAGCAGTAAATAAGCTTTCCTGAAATGCATGTTTCCTCTCCAAGAAAAAGGAAACAACCTCATTGAATGCTTTCAAACTGACATTAATTTATAGAATAAAATATCATCAAAATTTGAACTGTGAATTAAGTGATACCCAAATAATATAAAGTAATGAAGCAAAAATAAACTTAAGAGGTTCCTTGTTATATGGGCAACATCTCCATAAAAATCGGTTGGAAACTAACAAATCTGGTATGTGTTACACATGTTTAGTGAACACTGATTAAAATACTGACTAATTAGTCTGACCTCATCATCACCCCAAGCCCAAATTTACTAATCCCTCTTGTAGTCTACAGTGCAACCATTGGAACTATGTTTCTTTGCTTGACTTCTGAAATTTTGCCTTTTGCCTCAAAATACATAAAGCGCAACATATATCGAAAGCCTTTCACTTGCAATGCACCACCAGTATTTTGCAAGAGTAAAACAATTCAGAAGTGATACCGGAAACTGTCATTTTATATCATTCCACTCATTCTTGAGCATAATTTGTTTGTTTTGTGAATTTTCGGCATGTAACAAGTGGAACCACATCTAAAAAACATTCAAAACATATAAGATAATATACAGGTCGATACATATACAACTATAGTTTCAAAAATAAAAGATTTTATTACTGGGATACCTGTGGTAGCCCAGTCATAAAATGCCTTTGTTTTTTTGTCTTTCCTTTTTTTTTTTCCTCCGCCACAAAATCGAAAAATTGCGCAATAGTACCCAGAGGTCATTGGACCCTCAACACCATGACAACTAACTGTGATCCAATGAGGTGTTCACATGCTGATCACGCGTGCTATCTTGATGATGATTGACGTTGTCATGCACGGACAGGGCCGGGTCACATGATGAACACGAGATTTTTGCCCATAAAACTCTTTTGTCAATCGTTTTGTATTTCAATGTGTTTGGATTACGATCATCTGGAGCATTATGGCGCAAACGCTCAAAATACTTATAGACGCATACACAAGTCGTATTGTTCGCGGCCAATCCACACAAAAAGATGTTATTGAGCGGTAATTTTGGAACGGACTGAATCGCGAAGGCTTGAAAGCCATGAAAGCATTGAATGCCTTGTATGTCTTGTATGCTAAGTATGCCAATGTCTTAGTTGAAAACGTTAACTCGTTGTAAAAAGCAAAATCTGAAATCTGAAACCAAACTGCATATACTCTATGCAATCTATTGAACAACACTACCACCGTGAGACTGAAGAACAAAATTCAAATGGATGCAAACTGCTAGTGAAGAAAGACGCCATGTTGGATTCACTTGATGCCAGGGAACGTAGCTACGATAACAGTGCGAATGGTATTAATTTCACGATCAGAAAGGTGAATCTTATTTTTTTTTTCATTGTAGTTGTATGGATATTCTTTTTTAATAAATACATGATCCAAAATCCCGTGTTTTTTGTGTATTATGTTATTATGTTAAGTATTGTTTACGCAATTGTCTTGTCACAGGCAACCCAAGGTCACGTCTCGAGAAAGAGCCAACGATTAATTTACGAACGCGTCACGCGTTGTGTGACTCAGAGTAAGTTATGCTAGGAACCGTTGAAAATTTGAACACGTTATAAGGAATAGTATAGGGAACGAAATATGGTCGATTTACAACGATAAATATTTCGAAATATGAAGATTTTTCTCGTAAAATCAATAAAACTTACTCATACCCTGTGTATCCGTTGTAGTTTCTGGCGATTGTTGCCGTTTTAAGCTTGCTTTACCATCACTATTATTCACGTCATCTACTTTTATTACATTGGTAAAATCTGTACTGACATCACACCAACCAACTATGTTGAAGGCTTTAAATTATATTACGATCGATTTTCATTAGGAAATTGGCCAGGAATTTTCCACAATAGTGCAAATAATCGCGAAGGCTGATCGCGGAAAAGCGATTGCGTGACGCTCGGTAAGCTGTAAGATGACATATTATTATATACCAGACGTAAAAACTCTTCAGACTTTCAGTCTGCATTTTGTACCCAATCTGCAGTCTATATTTTGTATCCGGTCGGCAGTCTGCTGTTTACATTTTGTACTAACAGGTATCCGTGGCACCAATACAGTTTATTTTTGGTTACATTTATTCGCACAACACACATAATCTACCACAAAATACCTGTGTGTGAGGTAATTCGACATTTTCATTCTTTCCCACGTTAATAATCTTCTTTCCTTTTGTAAGAATGTAGACCACTTACAATGTTTCAAGTAATACACCCACCCTACAAAAAATAACTCTTGCATGCATAGCATGCCTATGTTTTGAAATTGGTGTATGCCCTTGGCCAGACTTGAGTTCACTATTTCAGTATACTAGTCCGACACGCGTAGTATCACTACACTTGATTCCACGGATCCAGTACCATCCAGGTATCCCAGTTACCCTGCTCACAGGGTCTAGTTTGATTTAGTTCGGACGCACACTGCGTTATATCTGTCATCGGCTGATAATTTAGGCCGTTGCGTTCTAACATTCCATTGAAGATTATTTACTCTGTCGCTTAAAAATCATGTTTGATCACATATATATTGCTTTACATTCACAAATATACATTTACAGGTTTGTCTCAAGGCAAAAAAACAAAGATTCGTGCGCGAAAAGTAAAAGTAAATGATTCAACACCACATGCGTCACGCATTTAAATATCACAAGAATGTTTACTGATTACTTACCTCGATTCTTCGCTAGGATTTTCCAGTTTTCTATCTAATTCGGATTCCTCACCACTAGACATACCACCATGCTCACTCTCATCGTCAAAAATCATCTCTAAAGCCTTAGCTACGCTGTATCTCTAGCGTTTCGCATCGGGCGCCATTGTCGCAGATTGAAATCGTACGCAAATGATTTTCGGAACGGGCTCCCGAGGTCACGTTTGATAGTTCGGAGCTAAAACTCGCCATGTGATTGGCTTAGAATGTTTACATGCTACAGCCGGAATTTCAGAGCGATCGGATGTAATACGAGCATTTCCGAAAAGGTCAAAGTCATCGTGCAATTTTGCACGATCGGCCCAGGCCTTGAATTGCAAACACTATTTTTGGCACACCAATTCCGATATTCCGAATAATGTCAAGACTAATATCCTTGATCTGTTTTGACATTTTTCAATCAAAGTGATATCGGAATGCTTTAATTGCAAACACTATTCTTGGCACACCAAATGAACAACAACGAATAATTGCAATATCGCCAGGGGAAAAAAAAGAGGACATACCAAAAAGTTACGAATTGGCTCTGCTTAACGACAAGGCGAAGTGAAGACTCTTCAAAACAGCGACTACACCATGTGCATAATGGTTTCGCGTCAATCTTTACATTCGAAGACGTCATGCCCTCTAGCAGATCGCTGTTCCATTTGCGGTTTTTATTTCTGGTGGTTTCGGCAAGATAGCCTTCACGTCATGCCACAAGCAAGCTCGACGATTCGCCACGACATCGAAATATTTCGTGTAATGCTAAGCAATTTAATGTGCAGCTTGAGCGTCTGATGTTCTGCAGAGCTATTCGACGTAACGTTACGCCATTTGTGTGTACGCTGCACCATCTGACATAACGCCGAGCCATTTCAAGCAACGCTACACCGTTTTCGTGTACACCGTACCATTTGACATTAAGCTGAGCTATTTCATGCAACGCTACACCGTTTGTGTGCTATATTGCAAATGAATGCTAAGCTATTCGCAATTGAGCTAGTTCATTTCACAATTTCATGTTCCAACTCGACATAGGCAACTAGACCGTTATCATTTGGCTAAAAATATTGATGTTTAGGGTGTTATATTTAATGAAGGAAGACTAAGCCGTCTATATAATTTGGCCATGCCATTCCTTTATTCGCGTTGATCTCGCAACAGAATACTCGTCAGATATTAATGCACGAAAGAGTGCGGGGCTTTAATTTTAAGAAATTCGAAATATTTTTCCAGTGACATCCCGATGCGTGACGACAACCGAGTTATTTTGTCCAACTTCAAAACAGATTTTCTCGTGAGGCGATGGTAAAA